CAACCCCCCCCCCCCCCCCCCCCCAATACGTTACGGCTTGTGATTAAGTAAATCCCCTACTGCGGGCCGCCATCCCCATTTCTCGACATGGCAGGTTTTAACCTCGGACATAATAACGTTATTATCGTTATTATATCCAAGTTTAAACAGAAAAATGCCATGAATTTATGTTTTTTAAGCATATCTACCACCTCCCGACGAACCTCGCCCCTAATCAAGCATTTTTACACTGTTTTACGTCGCTCTAAATCTTGAAGTCGGTGCTCAAAAACCGAGATTGGGATGGCGGAATTTCAAAAACAGTAAGCTACAGAGGGAAATTTAGTTCAGTATTTCACGGGAAAATATCACCATGTGCAAGTTTAAGGGTTGACTCAATGAGAACATATCTTGTACAACGGTTTGACTCTTATCTGTATTGTTCCATCTTTTCTTTTACTCGAATGAATTGCACTCAACAAGGATTTAAGGTAATAAAGTGTGTAAATGTATATGCAGATGAGAGTTTCCTTGAAATGTACGATTGATATGCATATATGTGCATGTACAAATATACTGTCACTAATTATGTTGAATTATATAGATATTATTTCGAGATTTTGTTTTATCATTTTCAGTATACTTACTTGACATTTTCAGGCAATCGGGGTTTGTCCAGACTGGCTTTGAGCAATACATGACGAAAAAATTTAATTGCAAAGTGTTGGCATTTGATCCAAGGTAAATGGTCTGCGCATTTGCATCATACATATAGGTCACATGACTTTCACGGTTGAGCTTTTATATTGATTTTTATTGATTATTTATCTATTTATTTATCATAATTTTTCTTACCGAAAATGCAAGGAGGGGATGTAATAAATCACACAGCTTAGGCCAAGTGAATATAACATGTTAATCAAAACGTGGGTAGATAGTCTATTTGTATTATGGAGTTTGGAGTTCGACTAAGAAATGATCCAATAATAAGAAAAATGGTTCAGGACCCCAAGAAAAATTTATTCAGGTACACAAATGTTCAATGTTGATTTTAAGCAATCTGTAGTGATGGTACTTTCCACGTGTATGTTCAACATACATATTATTATTATTATTATTATTATTATTATTATTATTATTATTATTTACCAAGAACAGATTTTTACGAATAACATTCTATAATTTGAATGCCATAAATTAATTCTTTTTGAAAACGTTCAGCAAATAAAATTTAGTAATTGCTTTTCTAGGTTAAAGATGAAGAAGCAGTACGTTAAGCTACAGGAAAACGTTATCTTGTATAAGACAGGTTTGTCGGCAGAGAACAAACCGAGCGGAAATGACCAGGACGCCGCGTGGGCAGACAACACGTGGGATCTTAAGACGCTGGGCACAATACTAAAGTCGACGGCACCTAGCAATGTATGTAGAATATAACTAGGGCGGAAAATGCTTTTTAGTTTTATCTAACTGAATTCTGTCGTGTTTTGCACATGACGCAGTGGAATGGTGGATGACCCAGTCATGGAGTTGTAAAATGTAACCTCATTGTAGTGCCTCATATACAACCGTTTGGGTTGACTGGCACAAAGAAAAATTCGAATTATTTAGTTTTGAACACATTTATAAGATGATGTGTAAAGTATTATGCTGTTTAACTTTTATACACTATCCTGTGCACAGAAACGGATTTATAACATATTCGTTTTTTTGACTTTTATTTGTAGGCAATCATAGACTACATGAAGATCGACATACAGGAAGGGGAATGGAGTGCTTTATTAACAGCATTCCAAGAAATGTCATTACAGAATGTAAAACAATTGTGTATAGAGATCCATATTGTCGGGAAGTTCTCCAATTTTCTAACTCACGAACGCATCAGTGCACTGAAGACGTTGAGAGGTATAGGATTCAGAATATATTCGTCAGAGGACCTTGGTAGGCGCAAAGTGTCGCCGTACACAGGCAGAAACGTGCACTCACGCTTTAGGCTTTATTTCATAAATAAGCATTTCTTGGAACAAGTGCGCGATATGAAAAGAGACAATTCTTCGGACACGTTGTGGTAAACGTGTCTTTTTTTGTGTGAAACTGACTGAACCATTGGAATGATGCGAGTTGAGGGGATTACCCTCCGATAGCGTTGCGCTTCTGGTTTTCGCAGCAATAAACTTGCTGATTGATTTGGGATTGATAAACATTGACGCACTAGTTAAATGTCGACGTATAATGCCGAGAGAGAGAGAGAGAGAGAGAGAGAGAGAACCGCTGGGTTGAAGACTGTATCATGATGTCAATATGGCTTTTTCAGAAATAGTGTAATATATGTTCTGTCAACGTGACACCGTACCAGCCAGGGGCCCGTTTGACGAAGCAGTAACTACTGAACTGTTCTGTCAACGTGACACCGTACATGTTCTGTCAACGTTTGACGAAGCAGTAACTACTGAACCATCTCGCTAACGAGAAAACTTTAGGGGTGTTTCACGAAGCAGTCGTTAACTCATCGCTAAGTTCAGTCGTAAAGTTCGGTCGTTAGTTCTCTCGTTACTCACCGTAGTCTCGAAACAGTCTACCGGAAGTGGAACTCTTGCGTAAAAGTGTCGCGAAAGCTCTAACTCTCCAGTTTCCGGCGGCTGGAAATGCATAAGAACGTCTGCTTTGAGGTCGTCGTAAAGGATCTCCACCACCTTTTTGTTATATTGTTAGTATGGAGCTTGCGGAATGAGCCGAGGATTGCCGATTGAGCAAGAAAGGTCGTCGCCATATTGGATACAAAGACAAACGACAGACAACGGTAACTAAGCAACCTTTCTATTTCATTCATTACGCATGCGTACGATGAAACTCTAGAGTTAGCGACTGGTCTGACCAGTCGCTAAATATCCAAGGTAACAACGACACAATAAAGAGCGAGAGAACTAGCGATAGCTTCGTGAAACGGCACTCATAACTAGCGAGAGGCTAACTACCGATCTCTAACTAACTACTGCTTCGTAAAACGGGCCCCAGATGTGTAGGCCTATCTAGAAAGTAGTAGGTCTACTCCCACGCACAATCAAATCCAACAGAAAAGAGAAAATTCACCAATTCGGCTATTCCACACGCAGAAAATAAAGTAATATAATAAGGGAATAGACAAATAATGTGTAAATAAGAAGAAGCACTGCAGTTTAAACTCTATACATGTTTCATGCAAACCTACTTTTGCTTATTTTTTCTGTAATATTTCTGTTGTTAAAAGATAAAAAATACGCTACTTTTTCATAGTTGCATAGTTCAACGTGTACCGTGCAGACGGACACGCAAGAAACGCATAAGACAACGTCAGTGATTTGCTGTCGTGTGACGCAAGGCATTATAATGAAAGTAATGTATGATTAGGACTACATAAAACAGTCATAAAACAGCTAGCAACTGATTGCAGCCTGACATACAAAATGCTCCGAAAACTGTAAATTAAAGGGATAATAACTCTTCGTATGAAATCTGTATTGCACAATAAAAACATTGTGAGTGACTCATAAAAATATAATATATACTGTTTTCCCACAAAAACGGCTGTTATAGCTATTATTCTGATATCTGAGCTTGTCTTTAGACCACGTGACCTCCATTCATGGCTATACTCTGTTAAAATCTCTTAAGAGATTTTAACAAAAAA